CCTCTCTCTCTCTCTCTCTCTCTCTCTCTCTCTCTCTCTCTCTCTCTCTCTCTCTCTCTCTCTCTCTTCTCCTTTATAAATGGTCGATGACGGTGTGCAAAAGTACCGTACGTAGCGGAATGCCCGTGCGGGCGGCTTCTCTCTTCTTTCCCTTTGTTTATGCTGTGTTTTTTGAACTCCTCAAATTTATATTGAAGTTTAAGAAGAAAAACAAATTGCAGATTGGAATTTAAAAATTTTTAAACAGAACACAAAGTATCCTAAATGATATATTATGATGTGTCATAATGCTGCAATATTCGATCTTTTCTCTGTAAAAATCAATGTAAATTTAAAAATTAATTAATTTTCAAACTTTTAAAAAATTGTGCTGTAACTTTTGCTGAAGAAATAATAAAACAATCTGCAAAATTTTATATTTTTACCATTTTTTCGATCATAATAAATTGGAAATCAGATCAAGGTTATTTGATCGATCGAATCTTTAACAATCTCAAGTCTAGCACGAGATCTATTCTTTCTAGCTGAACTTTTTGCACCATTCATCTTTTCTCTTTTTTTTCTCATGAAACATGAAAAGATAAGGAAAAAAAATGAAGTATGTTCAATTAAAAAAAAAAAAAAAGAAAAACAGAAAATCGATTGCACACTTTTAACGAGGTGAAAATTACAAGGAGGAAATTTATTAATTTTTAACATATGAAGCTGCAGATACTCTAGTGAGTTTCTTCACTTTTTCATCTCAAAATACACAACCGACAAACCTCAAAACGTACGGACTTCACGATGCCTACATACACCCTTGGCACGCGGAGAAATGGACGGCGCATGCGCGCACGCGCACACCCGCGCTTGTCACCTTTATTTTTGGAAGCGGCTGCTGTCACACAGAGAGCTACAGCTACGGTGGGAATCGACGCTGTTGCAAGTCACAGACGGTGGTGCTCAGCTGTGCTGGCGTATTCGGACGTGCGTGCTCGTGTGCGTATGTACGCGCCCGTCCCTCCGACGATCGACGACGAGCGATGTCGACGCGAACGACGATGACGACGACGATGTTCGGGACGAGGACCGGCACGACGTCGCTGACGAACGGCAACGGCAGCCTCGCCGAGACCCAAAAAGCGACACCGGCGAGATTCTGGTCGAAGATCCGCATGACCGAGTGGACGTTCAGTCTGTCGCTCCTCGCTCTCTCGCTCGCCATCGTCCTGGGCAAGTTATACGTGAACTATGGTAAGCGAACACTAATCATTTCGTCTTTCTCTTTTCTCTCTCTCTTTCTCTCTCTCTCTCTCTCTCTCCTTTTTTTTTCTCTCCTCCGCCCCGGCGAGGTCGGACGATGCAAAGTTCGTTCGTGCGTCCGCGGCTCAGGTTTGAGGTTAGACCATTATTATAAACGCACGCAATACTGTTTTGTTCTTCTGTTGAAAGGGACGTTCCGAGGGGCGATCTGAATCGCTTCCACGAGGGGGAGAGTCGTTGTCGCGCGAACGACGGACGGTAGCGACCGGTCGACCGATAGGATGTGTCGATCTGTCAGACGCGCAGTTTTTGTTTTGGTTACGTTGGAACCGGGATTGCCGACAATGCGAATCTGTCTCGGGAAAGCCTTGGTGATGTACGACGGTGTCGATATATGTATACCTTAGATTTTTATTTCTTTTTCTTTTTTTCACTACAATGTGTCAAAAAGACCACAAGAAAATTCTAATAGATTGATCTCTGCGATTAAGTATTTTCTGTATTTTTTTTGTATTGTTTAGATGTGTCCCTTACGCCAGTTACGCTTTTTACGTTTCGCTTTTCACTTTTCACTTTTCACAACATGAGCACGTGATTATCTCATAATTAGCATAAGAACATGAGAGTTGAAAACAAATAGCGTAGCTGAAAGGGACAGATCTAATTTCGATTAATCGGATAGCTGTTTATGTTATTTGTTTTGTATACTGATTATGTTATTTATTGTCATTGAATGTGGATATGTGGATAAATTATTTAAATTATTTAGCATTAACGTATTAACCGCTGATGCTTTCTGTAAGATAAGAGAGTCTAACATAAGACTGACTCTTGTTTAGCAAAATAATTATCAACAAATCTGTATTTTTTGAATTTTTTTTTTCTATGTAACGTGTTAACCGCTGACGCTTTCTGTAGGACAAAAATCTAACGCGGTACAAAAATCACTTGTATCTGTTGGCATTAATTTTATATCATTGTATTATTGTACACAAATCAATGTTCCATCCAATTTCTGGGATATTGAAAACCGGGCGATTCCTATTCGCTATTCTGATTTCAATAAAATTTGTTCTCTTTGTAAAGATTAACAGTTTCTTTCAGCGTATTTAATTCCTCTTACACATATATATATATATATACACACACGTTTTATATAACAAATTAATATTTTGTGTTTTGTAAGAGATGAGATAACACAATCTGATGATTACTTTCTCGTGTCGCTTTCCAGAGACGGAGATTTAAACGCGTTAAAATGCGCACGTCACGCATATGCAGCCTGCATTCTTCGGTTATATTTTTAACGGCACGCGGCCCATTTCTATTACGAGATACATCTTTCCGCGGGCTGGTGCGAAGTCCTTCGATTCTCTCCACCTTCTTCGCGAACACTCGCGTTTGTATGTCGCCCATGACCGAATTTGTCAAGGCCGCGTCATCGCTCGAAAAGTACACGCTTGGCTAGTAGTTGTCACAGGCAACAAAGAAAGCGGATAATAAAAAGAAAGAAGCGGTCCTATCTTTATTTATCTTATCTTTTATCTTATCGTTTAGTTAATCATTAAGTCAATTACATTTATTTAGAATAAACTTTACATTATATACATTTATTGAATTTACATGGAAATTCAATCCCTTAGATATTTAGTGAGTTTGATATATATATATATATATATCGTAGTAATATGTTTTCACTAATCAATGATAAATACATTGTATCTCTCAAACATTTGCGAGAAAAAGAATAAAGTTTTCCATGCTTTCGTTATATGTTGATTTGTAAGAACGAATCAGCTAGTCGAATCATAGTCGAGAGCTTATATTTCACTTATCATATGACGAATTTTTTAAATATGTTCATTATAGAATGATGAAATGACTTTCAAGTCTCCAAAAATTTTCCCTCTTATAATCAATCAATACGAAAAATTTTGTCAAATGATAAATGAAATTGCTAAATAAGGAGCCTATTTTGTAACATTTAACCATAGTATTATTAAGTCTTGCAGAATATTGTTGTGTCGCTCTCGGAGTCGTCCGCAAAAATG